TATATATGTATATATATATATATATATATATATATAAGTGTAGAATATAAAATTTTTTAATTATATCAAAATCTTTTTGCATGTTTTTAATTGGCTTTTTATAAAAATAATTTTAAATTTGCGTTTGATAGCAAAGTTTATCTAAAAGTCAAATCAAAAGTTATTACAATTAATATATGAAAATAATTGTTTTTAATAGAATGTAGATAAAAAGTGCAATCAGAAATATTTCTCAGTTTATCATTTATCTTATGAACTGAATGTTATGAAAATTGACCTCTGAATAATATTGGCTAAAAAAAAAATAAAATTGATCTTTCTTATTATCATAATAATCAAGCACATATAAAATATGTCTAATTTATTTTTCTTTATTATTATTACTTACATTTTAAAATACCTATTATTAAGTGTTACATAAATTTAACACTAATTTATTTTATTTAAAAAAATAGATATATAAATTATATAATATAATGAAAAATTGTTTCAAAAGATATGAATATGCCCGAGGAAGAATATGTGGAGAAAACATATATATATAAATTTCCAACGTGTACTACAAATCAAGAATATGTATTAGAAATACCATTAAAAATACCATACCATGGTTCTGTCAAGGAACTTATGCATCGTATAATGTCATCTTTTAAATTACCATGTTATGTGGAATCAGATTTATTGAAATCATTGGAAAATACTATTAAAACATTAACATTAGAATTTTATGATGAAAAAGCAGAAAAAGATCTTGAAAATGCAAAATCAGGAACATTAGATATTGAAGATATTATAAGAAATTGGGAAAAATCTTATAAACAAAAGACAGTAGAATATGCTGATCCTATTGGAACTACAGATGAAGAATTATTTGCTGCTGCATACCACAGATTAGTACATTCTCCATCATTAGAACCTATTCTTCAAGCAGAACATAAATTTGGAAGAGATGTAACCGAAGTTATTCAGATGAGAGATACACATTACGAACAACTCACTCAAAAGTCAGTATTAATATTGATCTTGTTATAAAAAATGCTTTTTATATTTTTTTCTTATTTTTTTATTTATATATCATATTAAAATCCAGATATTAATATTTTGTAATATATATAACCATATATGTAATATAAATCATTTTATCATTTTTAGTATTATGTATATATATTTTATATATAGATTAGTGGTAAGTTTAATATAAGCAATTGTTTTTTTTTTATAATACAATCATTTAATCACTATTGCAACAAATTTTTTTCACAATTCTATGATTAACATGCATGTTATTTAATATCATTTAAATGATATAAAAATTTGCATAAAAATAACATTTCTCTGACGCAAATAATAGAAAAATCTCAAATATATTTTTAAGCATTACAAATTATCTAATTTACAACTTTGTAAAAATAATTGTCTTAATATTTTTTTTGAAACTCAATTAATCATCCTGTCATTATTGTATAAATATGTAAGGAAAAAATGATAAAAAGAAATAGAAAGACATTAGCAAAATGAATTTTAGACAAACCGAAGAAATGCGGGTCGCTGTTGAAGCTCTCGAAGCTGGTTCTACTGAAAAATCTATAAATGATATGGCAGGACGACATTTTGAAGAACAAAGTTTATTACAAGGTCATTGGGGATCAAGAGTCGATGCATTGAAATTGGAACAAAGACGGCAATATCGTAATTGGATCATGAGGTTATTGGAAGAGCAGCAAACTAACATGTTACCGACTCCAGTGTACGTTTATATAAATAGAACAAATATTCGGATGACATGGATTTGATAATTATAGATCGTGTCACTATTAGGGGTTCTCCAATTCTATCGATGCCACCAATACGACCGGCATTAGACAATTTTGTTCATAGCGAAGAAAAAAATACGGCGGAATATCCTATATTGGAAGAAAGTTTCACCATACATTTAGGTTCTCAAATGAAACAAATGCATAATATAAGAATTTTAACTGGTGATGTTTTAGATTTTTGTAGAACAAAGAAGAGTGAATCTGGGTTAGTAAATGATAAAAAATATTATGATTATTTTATATTTAAATTAAATTTAATTTTTTAAAATAGAATGGATCCAACGCCTCAAAGGCTACAGACTGCTTTAGGATTATATTCTAATGATTTGTGTGGATTAGTATTATTGAGTGATAATCATTTAGGAAGTTATTCGGGAATAACGAAAGGTAATGCAATTACTTTGTACTGAAATAACAAATACTTACAAATATTTTTTGATTACATGTAATTAACAATATTAATAATTTTTTTCTAGAATTATGTTCGATATGTCAATTAACGACAGAATTTCATTTTCCACCGATTGATGAACAACTGGAAAAAATAAGAGAGGATGTGAAAGATGCAGTTGCATGGAGACAAGCTCATCATAAAGAAACAAACGAATCTCAAGTAAACAGAAATTAATTAAAATAATTCGATATTTTTTTTTAATTTTTTATACTAAATCCACCAATATATTTTTTATAGACTAAAAGATCAACAGGTAGCAAGAGTTTACAAACAGGTGATGTTTATATTACAAGGCATTCAAATTTAGCACAAGTCCATGTAATTTTTCACATGGTAGTGAACGATTCGTTACGATCTGGTAAATAATAAGTATATTTTTTTTATTATTGATTTTTTAATTTAATAATAATTCTTATTAATTTATGTAAATTTACAGGTGATATCAATTCGAGGCATCCGGCTATTTTAGGATTACGAAATATTTTAAAAACTGCTTGCTGTAATGATGTGACTACATTAACTATCCCTATACTCCTCGTTCATGAAATGTCGGAGGTCTAATATTTTGATAAAGAATCAGATTTTTTTTTTATATTTTCTTTATTAAAAAATATATTGATTTATTTTATTATTTCAGGATATGACTGTTGCGTGGTGTACAAAAAGAGCAGAACTTGTTTTTAAATGTGTGAAAGGATTTATGATAGAAATGGCATCTTGGGGTGGTGCTGAATTAAAGAATCTTCAATTTCTAGTACCTAAGGTGAAATGAATTATAAAAATATTAAAAAAAAAAATAAAAAAAGAATTATCGCTCCGCTTAATTAAGATTTCCTGAAACGAATATTAATATTTTTTTTTTTAGGGTATGTCAGAGGAAGTATTCGGTACTCTAGCCACAATGTTACCGAGCATATTCCGAGTATCAAATCCATTGGTGTTTAAAGCAACGAGCACACCTCAAACTCCAAAAAAGTGAATGAACTTCTTGTCATTGTTATCGTACACGTGTCAAAAATATTGAAATATTTATTATTATATATCACATATCATGGCGGCAATAAATCGTCGCAAATGCCAACAAGATATGATCCCGTGAATAAATGCCTGACTTTTAAAGAATTGTTTCATTTATATTATACATATTATTCATGCGATATTTTTCATTAATAGATACACCAATACTATTTATTGTACAATAAGTTCAAATATGCTATTCTTCTTAGTAAACTAAATTAATTTTTCATTGACTAATATTTTAAATAGATAAAATGTAAATGCAAAGATAAACGGATAATATGTAAATATCTGTTACTCGTAAATATCATTTTTAAAATATCATATAAGAAATGTAATATAAGCATAAAGCTTCTGATAAAAGATATCTATTAAATGGCATTTTTATGCGTCTATAATTATAATAATTTGTAATAGCTTTAGAAAAAAAAAAAATATTCCGACATGATCTTTGAAAATAAAAAGATTTCGAGTTCATAAAGAAAAAAAATCAGTAATGGTAAAATATGAAAAAAACAATTCACATTATCAATACAGAATAAGAAAAAACATTGAACTTTATATTAATTGCAATAAAACAAATATAGCACAATGTATTATCGTAGTTACATAGATAACCGTGTAGAATATGGAAACTCGTCAGATATGGTTCGACATTTCCGTTGACTTGTCCAATAATTAGTGCATCGCGTTCGAGTATAATGATATTAATGGTGCATCACTGTATTATCCTAACTATATTTGTCTTTCTTTTATCCATTACTATTCTTCCATCGTGAGTATCACTGACGGGATGTCTGCCGATATCATAATGCGAATATAAATTAATTGAAAAAATATATACAGTGATTAAGAGAAGAGAAAAAAAGACAAACAAGAATAAAATCTCGTTTTATTAAAAAATTGGTCGAAAACCGATTAATACAGTGCACATCTCGCGAATCAATTTAAACTACAAAAAATATTTTTCTCATTAACAAATGTGTTGTGCGAATCATTGGTGTGTGATGTCAAGAATTTTTTATTAAGAAATAACGTTAAATAAAATATTGGAAGACATTCAACAAAGGATATATAATACTGTAAAAATTGAATTTAATGAACCACTTCTATTGGATTTTTCATAATACTTAGAAAATATCAGTAAATCATCGACTATCTAAAAAACTGTACAACTCAAAAATATCGATGACGTGACTCTTTTATTTTCAATCAAATTTATCGCAAACAAAGATTACTTTCTGCATAGTGTGAAGAAGAAGAGACGGTAGATACGAATTTCATTAAATCATTTAAATTGTATAATAATTATTATTATACAATATATTAATATATAATTTAATGTTTTCCAAAGTATAAGAAAATATAAAAGTAAATAATGCAAAGATTTCCATAAAATTATAAAATCAGGCTATTGCGAAAAGAGGCAATCGGTCAAGCAACTGCATCAGAATGCGAAACTCCTTCTGATCCCCCCTCAATTGGGCATTGTAATCGTAAGCAGAGTATGCCACGAATGAATTCGTTGCCATTCCAGTGGATCATAGTGTGAGAGACATAGTTGAAACTAGCCGGTCTCAGCGTGATCAATTCAAACAAAATCGAAATCGCATCGCATTTGTTTGTATATTAAATAATCATCAATTACCTGCACAATGTGGTTTGGAGTTATTACGACTTTCTTATTTGTTTTTACTCTTAATTGCTTCATCAATTATTTAAACGCGGTAACGGTAGGTATATATATATATATAATTTTTCAATTTTCAGTTTAATAATCGTTTGGTGACAATTTTTTTTAAACGTGTAACAAAAAAATTATCCCTTGACACGTTATTATTTATTTATGCATATCATTACGCATGCATTGTCTTGCATATTTTTAATTTTGTACTTATAATATTTGTATCTGACACGAATAACGACTTAATAATTATTTGATAATAATTATAATAATTTAGATTACAATTTATCATTAATGGATATGATTTTTTTTTAATGTATTATCATATAATACATAATATAATACATCGTGTAATATATCGCGATTTGAAATTTTAAATTGTAATGGCACTTACTATAATGTCATGGCGGAAATTTGTCTTTTCGCGCCTTTCATATTTGGAAGAAATAACACATAACGATTTAATAAATGTAGAACACTTTTCCAAATTTTAATTTTTTCTTTTTTTTTTTCTTATTTTAGGTGGATCTGTCCAATCGTCGCTTGAAGAAAGAAGTGTTTTTCATGAACATTCAATCAACGATCAGATTGCAAGATGTCACCGATCTTATTCTTCGAAATAATGAATTTGACAGTTTTCTTGATTGTTCCACTAATCTTGAGAACTTAAGAACACTAGATTTGTCTCAAAATCATCTTCAACGATTCTTTTTCCTTTGTAAAGATGAATATAATTTGCAAGTGTTAAACGTCAGTCACAACAGGCTCGAATACATCGACGACAACGCCTTGAACGACCGAATTCCGAAGCTCAAAATACTCGATCTCTCATGGAACAAATTGTCAGTCGTTAACGAAACTATGTTGGCACATTTCAAAGTAACTACTTCGTATTTCTATAATATATCAGTAAAGAAAATATATTACAAACGATTTATATTTTTCAGGTTTTAGAATATCTTTCGTTAGCGAACAATCCAATTAATGATGGGATTCATGAAAACGCTTTCTGGAATTTAACAGCGTTACGATATTTGAATTTAAGAAATGTCTCGTCATTTCATTTTACATGGGATTTTTTCAAAACACTAAATAACTTATCCAGTTTAGATTTATCGGAAAATCCTATCTGTGTAATCCCATTACTACCAGTCAATTTGGAAGAACTCGATTTATCCAACACTCAAATATCACGATTGCAAGGTGTTTATTTACCGAGATTACGAGAATTAAAATTGAATAATATGAAACAACTAAAAGAATTAATTCTTAATGATTTTGAAAACTTAACAAGTTTAGAAATACTATCTTTAGATGGGTCGAAAAAATTAATGTTTTTAAAAATGTTCCCATATAACGACCATCTTTTACCGCGACTGCAACGCCTCTCGGTGGCTGATTGTAGTTTGAAAACGTTGGAATATAACCTCATGCCGATAATAAAGAGAACACCAATTTTGAATTTGGAGAATAATTTTTGGAACTGCGATTGTAAAATGCAGTGGCTTAATATGTTGAACACGACAAGTCGTGACATTAAGTAAGTAAAATTTCTCCAATATGAAGAATTAATTTTCATTCAATAATATAAAATAACCAAATGTTTCGATGAACTTAGCACAGATGTCTCTGCTAATACAATAATTATTTCAATTATCAAGTTTCAATATATTAATATAGTTGAAAATTTTTTTTAAGTAATTTTAACATAATATTTAACAATTTATTATGCAATTTTTAATATTCAAAGAGCTTTAACTTAATTTGTTGTTTGAAAAATTTCTAAATAATTTCGTTCATCAGGTGCATTACTCCTATTCAACACGCCAACAAACAACTAAGCACGATACCAAGTTACGAACTCGAATGTGAGAACGAGTCATCGATATTTCATCCAGTATTGTGGGCTTGTATTTTTATATTGATCGTTGCAATTATCTTAACGATCGGCTTCTTCGTGTTGAGACGACCGCTCGGGCACTGGGGCATTAGGAAGAATCGAGACACTGTCACCTATACGAATGTCGACGAATCCTCAAACGATTTGGTGAGAATTTTGGCGGTTGGTGAGACGGTCGAACGAAATGAGGAGTGAACAAATATAAGAGAGGCGAAATATTAGAAATGTATTACGTTAGAACGAAGCGATACAGTTTCACGATGGAGAAACAAATTGATATTTAAGAATTAGATTTAATTTTATAATTATCAATCGAAATATTCCATCGAATTATAATTTCGTAAAAATTAACGTACAGTGTGTTTCGAAATTAGAAGCCATATCTCTTGTTTCGAGTCAAATGAATATTGGTATTATTGCAAAGTATCAAATGTATAAATTATTCTTTCAAGAAACGGAACGATACATTTTTTGAAAAAAATTAAAATAATAATACATTCATAATCCACCATAGAAGAATTTCTTTCAGAAGTTAATCTAATCCACGAGAAGATATTAATTGGGAGGCGTCAAAGTATGAAATCGCACGTGTCACTGACATTTTGAACTTTCCAGATATCGATATCTCGCAAGAAAGTTCGCGAACCTTTATCAATTAACGCTCTCCCCCCAGTAAACTTGATCGATCGTTAAAACAAATTTGCATATGTTTGAAATAAATTTTGAAATATCCTGTACGGTTAATTTTCAATACCTTTTTTTTTTTTATACCGCGGTATAACAAGCAAAATGACGAGAATTAACGATGTCTTCATATATAAATAGATTTAACGAGTAACATTGTACAGCGGGTGAGCATCAATAGGCTTTGTGTCGAATCGCCACGCGTCGAAAACGCGGAAAAACGAGGCGTAAATAGAGGAGGCAACGTTACAACCCGATTCTAGTGCATCCCTTCGAACCTCGAAACAGCGTAGCAACCCTCTCGAGTGCTCGGGCATCGCCTGGAGTGCGCGAACCAACACAATGTGGGGGCCTGCCTCTTTTCTTTGAATCGAATAAAACGTCTTTTTGTCGGCATGTATCGACGTGTATTTTTCGAAACCCTTTACTAACCTCTTCTCATCGATTGCGAAACGAAATGTCCGCGCCACAAAAGGGAATAGATACAAAGCGGTCGATGGCTCATTTCCTCTGAAAGATCCGCCGCATGGTGGAGCACCGATTCCACGCACCGACGAATTCGCGGTGTGGACCTCTTTCTTCACCTTTTCTTCTTTTCTTCATTCGATCAAGAAATTAATTGAAATGTTACGAGACCACCTCTGCTCTTTGCGACCAGTCGGAAAATAGATTTGGGAAAGATCGATGTGGATCGAAGTTAGAAGAGTCAATAGTGAAAAGTAATTGTTTGTTATTATTATTATTATTATTATTATTGGAGCAAAGATGAAAAAAGATTCGAAGAAATGTATAAGAAACTTTTGATTTACAGATAATTATTACCACTATAACGTTTCATTTAATTAATAATTTCATGTATTATCTCCGCTATGTATCGAGATTACGATATATTGTATTCGAATGATCAAAATCCAATGTGAAAATCTTTCGAAAATCAATTTTGAGGAGAAGAAAAAATGATTGTGATCGATACAGTTTGTTGCGCGAATTACGTATAAAGATTCGACGACACGAGGCTCCAATCCTGTGTTCGAGACGTGCACTTTGTTCCTAAAGGGAGTGCGAATATTGACGAAGCAGAGGACGAACGAACAAATGGTGCTATGAAGATCGTCAGTTTCCATGACGTGCATCGTGATCGCGTGCGATGTAGCGATCAGCTTTTGTACCGAAGTATGATCTTCCTACGGGAAGCCTATTGGGTTACGACCTCGGACCGAGAGCCTTCCATATGGAAGGAGCGCATTACACGCCATCGACGTGTGTCATCGATTTTAACATTGTTAACATTGTCAAAATTATAATTTTCATTCACACTTAAGCAAGAAAGTAAGTAAGTAAGTAAGTAAGTAAGTAAGTAAGTAAATAAATTTAAAAAATATCAAGTATACATGTATACATTTGATATTCGTGTTTACCGTGAATATAATTGAGTATCTTGAAGAGATACGAGGAATAAAATACGAAGAAGTCGCAAGAGATAGTAATTTATATTTGCAATTTTTGCGAGTGAAAAAATGATAATTGGTATCGGTAATTAACGACGATATTAAAACACGTTTATTCGTAAAAATAATTGCCACGAGTGGATAAGTAACAATCACATTTCTCTCTCCTTCTTATAATTGGAACTCCACTTATGAAATCTATCTACTCCATTGAAGATCTATCTACGCGTGTATCTGTTTAAAAGGGGAAAAAGCACAAATCGAATTCGAAGAAATCAATCGATCCCGTGATAATCAAAACGTTAACTAAAATTTGTTCGAACAATTGGAAATCCCGTATTAATCTGCCCGCAGAACACATACACCGTTCATAACAACAATAACACGACAACAGACGCGTGAAAAATCGTGGTACCAAGTTGCGGGTGGTTCCACGCGAAAGACAAGACGAGAATCAGGGGCCTGGTCCCGATTATACCGATCCGCGCTCAATGGAACATTGTGGAACTCTTTTTTTCGATATTCCGGACACGGTCCATGGACGGAGCGGAGAGGATGGTGGAAGTTTTACTCCGGCGATATCGAGTGTCCGTAATTCGAGATCGAATCCGTGCGAGCCAATTTGGCGAGCCAACGGAAAAATAATACACCGCCTACCAGCGTCGACGAGGCACGGGATGTCGCGAGGAAGAGGCCGTGCGCGGAGAGGCGAATTTTAACGGCCAACGTAAAACACGTGGGCAGGCAGCCCTGAGTATATCGGGGATATCGTGTTTCCGGCCAAGTAAATACGAGATCCTCCCTTAAGACGCCTCGATAGCCCTGCCGATATTTTCGACGAGGAAAAAGAAAGAGGAGGGTGGGGGGAGAGAAGACGAAGAAGAGAGAGAGAGAGAGAAAAGTGGTGTACAAAGATGGTCGGAAATGATTGGAGGAATCGAAGGGGAGAGGAAAGATAAATTCGAAGGAAAAGGGGGATGATGGGGTTCGCTCGATGGAATCGTGTCGTTCGTTCTTTTTTTTTTCTTTTTTATTCGACATCGAATCTCGGTTCTATATACACGTATAGAAGGTTAATCAAACGCGTACACGGCTTACTTAGCACTCGGTGAAACGTATTTTCGAAATATCACACTTTCCATTACGATTCGTTAAGCCGGTGCTCTTGCATTAACTAAGCTGACCTGCTAATTACCGTACCTCCGATAGTTCGCCCCGTTTCCTTTCTCCTCTCGTTTCCCTCCCGTTTCCTCCGACATTCCGCCTACTGTTTGAAACGACGGCCGAGGCCGCCGGAAACGCGGAAAAAAAAAAAAAAGGAACTGCCGCGACGGCTTCGAGCCGAGCGCAGAAAAAGAGAGAGAGAGAGAGAGAGAGAGAAGAGGTTCGACGCAACGAGAGATCGGGATCTCGTTGGTTGTAATTTCATTTTCGTTTTTTTTTTCTTTTTCTTTTTCTTTTTTTTTTTTTTCATTCCATTCCTTCGTGCCGTTGTACTACTTCGTCGAAAGGATAAAAGAGATTTGTTTATTCGGAGATTTTTTAAATCTAAGATTTGAAAGATCACGTTTTTAGCGAATAACCATAGCGATGATTTAAAAGATTTCGCATTTCAGATATACGATGATGATTATTATTCGTTTCTCCCTTTCTTTTTTCTCTTTCTTTCCGCATATCCGCGCTCCTTCCTCTCTTTCATTAATCATATTTGATTGGATTACAAACAAGATAAGCGATTGTTCGTAAGTCCAAAGGATATACGTGTATCTATGGTAATAGAAGAAGAATTATGGCCGAGATGATTAATTATCTTCGGTTTGTGAAGCACACTTTGTACAGTTTTTAAAGAAATTAAATATTTTCCCATCCTTTCTAACATCCTCCTCACCAATCTGATTAAAATCCCAACAAACACCAGCATAACACCAATACATACCATAATACACATTATACACGTTATAACTTCCTAACTATATCCTTCAAACTTTCTTCAATTCTCCAATCACACTACTAACTCGCATTTTACGCATAAAAAAAGAAATATTGAAACCGAGCTACTATAAAACCCACCAAAAATTTCTTCCAAAATATTCCAAAAATACCTGCATAAGTATTCAAACGTACATATTCACACAGAACTCGAAATTTTTTTCAAACACATTCCTCCTATCGTTGCTCTAT